ATTGTTAATAATTATGTTTGTTTTTATTTATTAAAATTGTTTATTAATGTGATTAATTTTTTATTTTTTAAAAAGTTGTGAATTACTAATTTTTTTTGTTATATGCATATAAATAATTTTTTAGTTTGTAATTATATATAGTGGATAATGATTATTTGTATATTATATTTATGTTGTTTTTTAATTGTTTTGGAAAAATAGTAAAATTTCTATTATATAATTTTTTTGACAATAAAATAATAAATTTGTGGTTGCTTGTATAATATAATTTTGTTTTATATATACTACTCCATTATTTGTGTTTTTATAATTTATATATTATTGAAATATTATCAACAAAGTGGAAAAATAAATTATATTTTCTTTTAATTTATAGAGAAGCAGTTAACAGTGCAATGCATTGTCAAATGTTCGAAGATTGTCAACATAAGAGGTTAAATATTGACTATTAATATATTATTTGACACTATAATGTGGTGTCAAATAATATATTTTTTTGACACTGCATTTTTTTGTGGTGTCAAATATTATTTGACACAAGCTTATTATATAGAGATATTTAGCAGGATTATGCAGTGTCTAATTGTCTTTTTGACATAGCATTTGTGGTGTCAAATAGTCATTTTACTAATGATGACTGCTTTTTAGAGGTGTGTCTTTGTTTTTGATTTTTAGTTTATTGTACATACTCTTATTGGAAATCATCAAGAAACTGGAATTAGAACCAAACTCGGTCTCCTCAGTATTTTTCTTGATTTGGTAAATTGTAGTATTGATGCTGAGCAAAAACTTTGTTTGGGTTTTAAATTTTATTTGGATATTTTCTTGCTTTGCCTTTTGTTTTCTGTAGCATGAGTTAGTTATACATTTATTCATTAATCAATAATCAAATGTTAGTTTGTTGTATACGCCTTGCAGCCATTTGAAAGTTATGATTTCTAATTTAATTTTCATCTGTGCTTGCTCTGTTTTCGTTTTTGTACTTCACCGACTTCTTATTTTATCTATATGTCCCATGTCTATTTTATGTGTGTTGAGTTGAAATCGAGGAGATCTATGAGGACTCTATCCCAAATCTTTATTAGGGATGTGATTTTTCAGTGTCAAATTAACATTCAAATTCAATGTTTATTGTGACAATTATTTGTTTTTGTTTCCTGGGAAAAATTGTTGATTTTAATCATTTCGATTTCTCGTCATTCTTGAAGATAAAGGGAGTTTCATTTTTAATGTAAAATTGCATAAAAACAGTTTCTACCAGCTCTACTTGTGGGAATGAAAGGACCTTAATTCTTTAGACTTGATCATGTGTTTGGGCCTTCTGAGTTCGGTTAATAATGTGTTTCATTATATTATATTCTAGTTTATTATCTTTGTCCCCTCTGAGTTTAAGGATGATGAATGCAATACGAGAGTGAGATGGAAAAAAAAAAAAGTTAGAAGGATTAGGAAGAGGGATGAAAATAAAAAATTATCCTTGTTTAATTACTTACAACATTTAAATATTATTGAATAAGTGCTTCATCTTTTTAATTATTGAATGAAAAGCTCAGTGCTACTCTCTACTCTAGTTGATCTTAATCTGTGGATGTAAAATTCAACATTTCCTCCCGAATTAAGTTTAAGTATTTTTTTAAATAAATTGAGAAATATCTCAATATTAAAGTATGCATTAATTGTACTTTATATGAAAGTTGTAGGTGTCTAATATTTTCTCCATGTCTAATATTTTCTCCATGCTTAATTGACCCTTTGATTCCAATTAATTTCTATGTGATCCTACATAATTTATCTCACCTCATTTAAATAGATGACAACTTCATCCATTTTGATACATCAATAGTGATAAAATGATATTTCTTAAATATTATGAAGCCTATAAAGAACTTAGAGATGAATATTTAATGATAAATTATTCATTAGAATTTTGAAATAGTTTGGCAGAATTATGATTATCAAACACTACAAAAGTTAGTTATGAATAAATTCATTTATTATTGTATACGATTATACAAATATTTTGAATTATAAAAAAAATGATCATTGATAAACTCATATTAGAATTGATATAAAATGTTTTTTATATTTTGAATATACTCTTGAAGTGGCAATCTCAAGAAGAAAATTTTAACATATATATTCAAAATTAATGGATATCTCCTCTTTGTTAATAAAATTATGAATTTATAATGAAAAATAATGAATCATGACCTATTAATTTGATTTTATTTCATTTCGTGGGATTGAATGTGGCATCATATGATAATCATTTCTATGAATATAATCATGGACTTAAATTTGCAAAATAATAAAATTTACAAAATAAGTTAGCAAAAAAAAAGTCTAAAGCTCTTATCATAGACGCAACATAAAAACTAATTAATTCTTTATCATGAAGTACTAATTTAGTACCATTCCCGAAAGAGCATGGGTTACTCAATGACAATCCTTGGCATAGACAGAGTGGTGGATATGGCCATGACATCATAATAATACTGGATGTGGTGGTGAATGGTGATTATAATTTTAAGAAATATGAAAATAATGAAGAAAAATATGCAAGTTGGAAAGATTTGTAAAAGAAGCCAATAATGAATTGTAAAATTTACATTATAATTGTAAAATCGATGTGATATGAAAAGTCACTAGTAATATACATGTTGTACTTTTAAGTAAATAGTTTATTTATCAAGTTTTACATAATAAAAAAAGAAAAGAGCATAATTAAATTAAATTTTATTAGA